TATAAAACATGAAGACAGCGATTGCTCCGAGTCGAAGACTCGGAGTGATCGATTTCTTCATGTTTTATATTAATTAAGAATCACTGAGTGATAAAATAATTGGTTTATATTATAAGAATATTATTACAGTAACTTTTTCAAAATTATTTTCATCATTTTAAATCAATTATTATTTTAAACAATTTTTAATTATTTTTTATGAAAATAATTGAAAAAATTTTATTATTTATAAAAATAATTGAATTATTGCGAAGGAATTTATAAAAAATTTTGTAAATAATTAAATTCCTGAGAAATTTTTTTTATTTATGAAAATAATTAAATGTTTGCGTACTATTTTTGGGAATTTGAAATTGATTTGAAAATAACTGAACTTTGAGGAAGAATTTTGCTGTTTATAAAGATAATTGGGATTTTGTTGACGAGAATTTTTTTTAAATTTGAAAGATAATTGAATTTTATGAGAAGAATTTTATCACTCTTGAAAATAATTGAATTTCTGCAATTATTTGTAATTTTCCAAAATTGGATTTTTTTAGTGTTTTCAACAAAAATTTGAATTACAAATTTTTAAATTCTATTATTTTTAAAATTGCTAATTGTATCCAAATGTTTGCGTACAATTTTATTAAAATTGTTTTTAAACAATTGAATTCTTTTGGCTAATTTTATTAAAATAGTAGATATTGAAAATCATTAAAATGAGGAAAATTTTTGAAAATAATTGAAATTTTGCCAAGAATTTTATTAAAATTTTTTAAAATAATTGAATTTTGAAAAAGTATTTTTTTATTTATAAAGATAATAATTAGGATTTTGTCGACATTTTTTTGTAAATTTTGAAATTAAAATGAATTAATTAAATTAATTAATTAATTAATTAATTAAATTTTTTGAAATTTTTTGATAAGAATTTTATTATACTTTTGAAAATAATTAAATTTCTGCAATCATTTGTAATTTCTTCAAAATTCAATTTCTATTTAGTGTTTTTAACTAAAATTCTTTATTTTTAATAATTAATTGAATATATATTGATAAATTTAACTAATTTTACAAGATTTGGACTTATTAAAATTTTTTAAAAATCCAAGTTCATTAAAATTTCTAATTAAATTCATTCAACATTGAAATTTTATAAAATTATAATAAGGGGAGGGAGAGAAATGGATGAAAGAAATAGAAAAAACTAGAGCGAGGGTGGGAACGTAGAAATAATTCTTAGTTTTATAATTGACGAAGCCAAATTGGGCACAAAGAAGCTGGAAACGGAAACCCAGGCACTTGGCAGATAGATTTAGTTTTTATATTAGGTTAAGGTTAAAATGTTAGAATTGTAAGTTATCTTTAAGGTTTTTTTTTGTATTGGAAGTTTTGCCTCGAACCCTGCGGCTTGTGCAGGGAGAGAGTAATAAATAAAAAAATAAATAAAAAAAAAAAATTATAATAATTGTAAACGCAATTCTTTTAAAATTCAATTAATTTTGAATTATTTAAGAAAAATTATTCATTAAATCATTTATTTATTTTATGATAGTTGTTCAAGATTTTCTTATGAATTCTAAAAATTTAATTTCTTTCAGTACTTTTAATAAAAATTACTAATTTTTCCCTAATTTCCCTATATTAGAATATATGATTATTTTTATAAAAAAAAGATTTGAATTAAAAATTTTTACGTTTTATTATTTTTAAAATAGATAATTTGATTTTTAAAAAAGTGAGTATTATTTAAATAAAATTATTCAATGTTTCTAAAAATATCACTGAGTTATAAATTTTTAATATTGTAAGAAAGAAATATTTTATTGTTATAATTTTAAAAGTATGTGTTTTTTTATCACACAAAAAATATTAAATTTAACACAATTTGTAAAAAAAATAATTTAAATAATAATACTCTCAAATTTCAAAATTTATAAATATTTGAAATAAAGTGTGTGTAGCTAAAGGTTAAAAAAAATGAAAAAAATAGAGTAAATCCTGCGAAGAAGAAAGAAATTAATATTCACGACTCTGTTCTCTTGAATAAAAAGCGACGCGCAATTTTTCAATTTATAAGTACGGGTTTTTTTTTATAACTATTGACTTATTCAAACAAACTGCCTTTTGTTGTGATTAATCTTAATGCCAGTTTTCACATTTTGTTTTTATACTTTTTCAATTCTGAATTGTACATTTCGTGAAAAAATATTCTTATACTTATTATTTTATGAAAATAGAAAAATTTGAAATTTAGAAATTAACCATAAAGTTAATTGAGTTTTGAAAAAAAAGTTATCAATAATTTATTTTCTCTTTTTTAATAATAAAAAATTAAAAATAAATTTTTGAAGAAATTCGAGAAAAATATTGACAATAATATATTATTTTTCTTTAATAATATTAAATATATATTTTGGAAGCAATTTGAAAATAATTGTCAGTAATATTTTTCTTTTTCTTTAATAATATTTTGGAAGTAATTTGAAAAGAAATTGTCAGTAATATTTTTTTTTTTTTTTTTTTAATATTTTTTTTTAATATTTTTTTTTAAATATTTTTAATATTTTTTTGTCAGTAATATTTCAATATATATTTTTGAAAGCAATTTGAGAAAATTTGACCATTTTTTCCCTCTTAATAATCTTCCTACTTGAATATATTTTGAATGAAATTTTGAAAAAAAAATTGACAATAATATTTTTCTTTTTCTCTATAATAATAAATTCATTTTTCCGAATTTTTTTTCTCTTTTTTTTCTGAAAGCTTGCCAACAATATTTCCTCCTTTTTAATATAAATATGATCTTTCGAAAAAACTATGAAAAATGGACAATAATATTTTTCTCTCCCTTTTCCAATAAAATATTTTGGAAACAGATTCAATGAATCCTATAAAGACAGAGGGCAGTATGTAAAATTGAAATTGAATATCGTTTTGCTTGCTGAATTTTGAAATCGATTTTACGTATATTATAAAGTATAACCCAATTTGTAAAATGACAAAAGCCCCTCATAACAATTTTAGTGTGAATGTAATCGTGAAAATAGATGATATATATACAATATCAAATCACGTAACTTACGAATGGACTCTTTGACGTGTGTAAAATAACTTCATTCAATGCATACAGTTATAACAAGTTTATCTCACAATATTAAATTACATTCAATTGTAAATTACATGATTTAAATAAGTATTGCCTGTGGAATATAAATGCCCGTCCATTGTATCAAAATTGAATAGAAGTTTTTGAAATTTTTTTTACTCATTTTTTTTAGAAAAAAGTATTATTATAGTGTCGAAATTTTTCAATGAGAAAAAGAGTTTTTTTTTATATTTTCCTCTTTATTCATTCTTTATAATTTTTGATAAAGTTTTTATTTTTAAATAATTATAAATATATATTCTATATACGAATAAATAATATAAATAAATAAATTTTTTATTTTAATTTCTAATTTTTTGTTTATTAATATTTAATTTTCAGTTCTTTTTATTATTATTTGATTCTATAAATGAATAAATAAATTTTTACTTTTTGTTTATTTTTGAATATTAATATTAAATTTTCAGTTCTTTTTATTAATATTTAATTCTATAAATGAATAAATAAATAAATTTTTTATTTCTATATTTTTTTGTTATTATTATTTGGCGTCAAAAATTCTAATTTTTATTTGTTTATATATTAATATTTAATTTACAGTTCTTTTTATTAATATTCAATTTTCAGTTTTTTCTTTATTTAATACTTTCTTACAAATTCTTTTTTCATTAATTTTTCTTTTTTGCTTTTAGTTTTTGTGAATAAAAATTTTAATTTTCTTTTATTGAATTTTAAAAAATGTATTAAAAATTTTTTTTTTTTATTTCTGTTAAAAAGCGGTCTTCATTATCTTGCAATTGTGTAAAAAATTGAGAATCTTTTTTGTACAATCATGAACGCTTTTATAATTTAGAGATCTCAAAGGATTTGCTGATTCACTGAAAAATAAAAGTGGAAATCGACTTAAAGGCTAAGTGATTTTTGATATTATGCAATTTTTGCTGAAAAAATATAAAAAGCAATTCTCCTTTTTAAAAAGAATGTAAAATTTTCATATTTTTCAATCAAAGTTCTTAATTTTTTTCTTTCTTTTTGTTTTTACTCTTCATTTTTTTATCTATTCTCTGTTTTTTTGCGATTTTTCTCATTTTTCAAAGTTCTTTTAATATTTTCTTTCATATCTCTCTTTCTGTATAAGTAAAAAAACTAGAACAAAATAAAATTAAAAATAAATTAATTTATGTTTATTAATAAAATGAAATAAAACAAAAATAAAATTAAAAATAAATTAATTTATGTTTATTAATAAAATGAAATAAAATAAAAATAAAACAAAAATAAAATAAATGAAATTAACAAAGAAATAATTAATAAACTTTTATAATCTACTGACAATTATAATTTTTTTTTGTCAAAATTAAAACTGGCATTAATATTTTATAAGACAATTATTAAAAATATAATTATTTTATTATTATTTATTGTTAACTGTATTAAATGGAAAATTTTTATCTAAATTAATGAACAAAATTATCCAATGAGATTAAAATATCAATTAACGAAACGTTTATTATATAAATAAATCAAAATGGTTATTGTTCTCTTATATAACTGCAATGTGGATTGATAATTTATATAGGATTGATTTTCTCTTGAAATTAAATTGAAATTGAAGCGATTTGCTGATGAGGTGATTCGTTTAATTAACAAATCATTTAAACGCGCATAGAAATAAATTAATTATCTATATATCTTTAATTTCGAACAAATTCTCTACTATTTTACATTGGCAGCAACAAATTTTATACAAATTCTCCTTGATGTTAATCTTATTTACCTTAAATTTATTTATTTTATTATTTACATTTGTTTATAGTTATTTATATTTATTTATATTTATTCATATTTAACGGACGAATTGAAAAATTATTGAAAACTTCTTATGATTATTTTTTGTTTCCTTTTCCAGATGCTGTACTACTTTTAAAAATTTAGGAGTGCTACGAAATTATGTGAGTAATTTTAATTTTATTTTACTTTGATTTATGTTTATTGATATTTTTGATATTGATTTATTGATATTTTTTATAAATATTCTGAGATTCATTATGGAGATGCTACTCTCCACCTGCGAACGCCAAGGTCACCGCTAGATGGCAGTTTAGTTTTTTCCTGGAATTTCTCCTGCCATCTAGTGGCGACCTTGACGTTCTCAAGTGGAGAAATTCATTTTCTCCCTCGAAAACTTTTTTTATAATTAAAAAAATTCCATTGCTTATAAATTAATATTTATAGACTATTATTTTATAATATAGACTATTTGCTACTTTATAGAAAACATTATTTGTCCAAAATTTCGAGGACATTTTAAAAATATTAAAAAAAATAAATATAATACTTTTTTCCTTTCGAAACGAAAGTTGAAAAATGTTTTTGTTATTTAATTTTGTCGGAAATATTTGACACTTATTGTCCTTGTAATCGTTGAAAGAAAACAAACGATCAGTTAATAATTCATAAATTTTTATTTTTCTTCTTTTTTTTTTTGATAGAAAATTTCTTGATGAATTATCGTAAATTGTATACGATTTTCCAAATAATATGAGAAATGTCATTATGCGAAAAGGTCTTTTGATGGCAAAGTGCCAACTTGGCAAAAATCATCTCGACTCTACTTTTTGCACTTGATTTGCTCTTCGTAATGAAGAGAGTCAGGACAGTGTAAAGTGTGACAAAGTTAAAGGCGATTTCCCTTGGGTGTTTCAAATATGCATTTGCCACAGTAGGTGAAAAAAAGCTTTCAAATACTTTCCTTTTTGCCCACACATATACATATATACATGTATATACTCCCAATATATCGAAATTCGATTCTTCATTAATTCCAGGCCTTGCATATATGCAAAACGTATACCAATCAAAAGTTTCCTCCTCTTCAGAATAAGCAAAGCTTTTCAATTGTCAACATTCCACGAATCAAAAAAAATAAAAATAAAAATAAAGCGAAGGAAAAAAAATTGGTGACTTCAAATCCTTTTTCCTTTGATGTGAAAATGTTTGTTTCTCTTTTACATCGCGCGAAATAAACAAATAAACAAAATTCAATTAACAGATGCAAATCAAGTTTATCGCATTTGAAAAAAAATGTTGAATATTTTTTTTTGTATACGTTAAAAAAAATGGAGCAAATAATTAAATGGTGCGAAAAATGCGAGGTGGTTGTATAAACTTTGTTGCTATTTAATAATTTTATTATTAATTATTACTAAGTAATAATAATTAATTATTAAAAGAAATTTTTTAAATTTAAATAAATAAATAAAAGTTCTTTGTAGTATGAAAAGGAAAAAAAGTAGTAAATAATTAAATAGTGCAAAAATAGTTGTTCGAATCAGAATAACTTTAGAAAAATTAAACAACAATTGAAAAAATTAAAATTTTGGACAAAAAGATATTTTTAATTTTTTCAAGCTTGTTTTGACATTTTAATGAATATTTTTAATTAAAATAAAAAGCAAAACATGTTCCCATTTTAATTTAGTGCTCATTTAAAAATACCTCAAATAAATTGAATTCCATATTTTAGTTATTTTTTTCAATTTGTAATTATTATATTTTCGTTTATTAAAATGTGATGCAATTAAAATAAATTAATTTAGACTTTTTAATTGGGATTTTGAAATTAAATTTTTTAATTCTAGAGAATTCCATATAAAGGTATATTGAATACAATATAAAAATGTTCTTCAAATAAATGATGAAATATCAACATTTTTTTTTCCATCACTCATTTTAATTAAAATTGTGATAAAAAATTGAAAAATGAAATAAAACTAAAGAAGAATTTTTTGAATTAATTGTGTATTGATAGATAAGGAACAACTGGAAAAATATTTCAAAATTTTTTAAAGACATAATAAATTTCAACTTTTGTAATAACTTCATTTAAATTAATTTATATTCCAATGAGACTTCTTTTTTTTTTTGTCACACTCCGAAAACTTGAACCTGTTTTGAAATGTCATTTCTGTCGTATAGACATTAATATATATATATATATATATATATATCAATTTGTGTAGGCTTCACATCGAAGCGAGAAAAAAAATTACCAGAGTTCAAATTTTTTTTATCTTGAATTTAAAATTTGAAAAATTTTGTTTGATTCATAAAAAAACATTTAATTGAAATATCAAATTAAAGTGCAAAAGAAAATGTTAATTGAAAAAAATTAAATCAATTGGAAATTTATTATATATTATTATTATTTTTTTCTCTTGTTTCGTATAATATTATTTACATTAATAATATTTTCCTTAGAAATTAAATTAAGTAAATAAATAAATAAATAATAAATAAACTAAAAAAATAAAATAAATAGGGAATAAATTAAAACAAACAAAAAGAAATTGTCACGTATGAAAACTAAAAAAAAATAGTGAGAGGAAGAAAATCAATCTCGAAAAAATCATTTTTCATTTTAATTCAAGATTATAATATATATTATAAAAAAAAACCAAAGTCTCTGAGATGTTACATTCTACTTATCGGGAAAAGCTTTTTTCTTTGAAGAAAATATACTGGATGCCTGACAATTGTACGCGCTTATGCTAAAATCTGTGCCATGACCTTAATTATTCTCGCAGCTGAAGGAAAAAACTGTAAGGAAAAAGATAAAAAAAGAAAAACTTCATTTGTTCGGAATTAAATGGAAAGCACTTTTTTGCTAACTTCTCAATTTCACTTTAGATTATTATATTTACTTACGAATTCTTCTTTTTTTTCTCTCCCTCAAAAACTTTTGTGTAAAAAAGTAAAAAAAGAAAAAAAAAATTAGTATTCAAAAAGATTCTTCGGTAATATCCAGTTATTTCCAGACTAATGGAATTTATCAAGGAGAATAAAAAACTTGTCTTCTCTCAATATAGTATATAAGAACTTCATGAATAAATAATCATTATTGAACATTTATTGGCAGAATTTCGAAAAAATTCACACTTTTTGAAATTTTTTCTTTCGCCTTATTTGAAATATTTGCTTTATGGCTCATTTCGATTCTATTTTGTCTTATTTATCGATATTATAGTGAAAAAAATTTATTTGATTCACATAAATAAATAATAAATTAAATTTATTGATAAATAAATAAATAATAAATAAATTTATTAATAAATAAATAATAAATAAATTTATTAATAAATATAAATAATAAATAAATATATTTATTAATAAGTAGGTAATTAAATATATTTATTATCGAATAAATATTTACTTCAATCAAATAATTTTAAATTAAATCTTGCATTTGAAGCAATAATTTCAGTATTTGGAAGCAAGTACAATGTAATAGACATAAGTAAAAATTAATTTGATTGAACTAAATATTTATTCGATTGAAATAAATATTTATTTGATAACACACATGCAATCGTTTATTTGAATCAAATTTTTTTTTCACTGTATTTGTAAGATAAAAAAACAATTAAAAAAAGTATTTTCATCGACAAGTTTTATATATATGCGGGTTATTCATGTAATTTTCTACATTCAGCAATTTTTACAGTTCACTGGATAATGAACTCTCTCAGTATTATAAACTCATTGACTGATTAGAATTTTAAAACATTAAAGAAGAAAGCAGATTTCAATTATTATTTATGTTTCTTAATTAAAAAATGAAATATAGAATTCTTTTGAATTAAATAATTATTATTATACTGAAAGTATAAATGAACTCATTTTACAGAAGCATTTTGATAGCTACGGAAGTTAAATATGAATTTTCAACTCTTGCATTCGTGATAACATTTCCGCTGAGTTATCAATTTTCTCGTAAATCGATTTTAATTAATCCAATCTAATCGAATTTCTCGCACTCGGCAATAACCAAGTCCTTCCTGCGTTGCGTTGATTCGAGATCAGTTTGGAAAAATTTCTTCTTTTTTATTTTTTTTATACTATTCTATTTGAAAATAAATACTACTGTATGCGAAATAAATCACCAAGATTCTATCTTTCGAAAATTTTTTTTCCTGCATGGTCGTTGATCAATTCTAGAAAATAAAATTTTTAAAATAAAATGTTAAATTTAGATTTTTTAATGTTTATTTTATATTTAGACGGAAATGTATCTTTCTGATTATTGGAGACATTAAGATTCGATTTTATCAAAAGTTTGTCGAAAAATTATTATTTATGTAATTTATTAAAATTTATAAATAAAAATTTTTTTTACTTTAATAATTAATTGACCCTTTAAATGTAGAAACAAAAATTCACGGATTTCAATATTCCTTCAAGAATTAATTCTATTTTGTTCGATTTGTCTTTTTAAATATTTTCAATTTTAAAATTAATGTATTGAAAATCATTGAATTCTTCCAAAGAATTTGAAAGTCATTGAATCTTGCAAAGAATTTTATCAAAAAATTTGAAAATAATTAAATTCCTTCAAAGAATTTTATTATTTATGAAAATAATTGAATTCTTGCGAAGAATTATTATTAAAATATTTGAAAATCCTAATTAATTTCATTTGAATAATTATTACTTTGGATTTTTTTAAAAATAATGTAGTTTCTTAAATAATTTTAATTAAAAATTTTGAAAGTAATTGAATTTTATGAACAACTTTTTTCATGTTTTTAAAATAATCGTGTTTTTAAATAATTGAAATTAAACATTTAATTATTGAATTTTATTAAAATTTTTAGAAAATAATTAAATTCTTTGGAAGAATAGATATTATTAAAGTTTTTGACAATAATTGAATTATTCTTTTAAAAAATTTCTTTAATTTATTGAATATAATCGATTTTGTTAATGATTGTAATAATTATAATTATTTAATTAATAATTTTACTATTCAAGTTTTATTAAAACTATTGTTAGAAAATAAAACTATTTTAAACAATTTTATTATATATTTTTAAGTAAAAGGCTTATCGGTCATGTTTTTTTTTAAGTAAAAATTCATTTTTTTTTTAAATTAATTTATTTATTAACAAAAGTT